TTTTTTTTTTTTTTTTTTTTTTTTTGTTTTGCACTGTGGATTGAAACCCAGGGGTGCTTTTTCGCTGAGCTATGTAGTCCCAGTTTTATATAGTCCCAGTTTATAGTCCCTATTTTATATTTCCACACAGGGTCTCACTAAGTTGCTTAGGGCCTCACTAAGTTGTAGTATGATGTAGTTTATAGTAACAAATATTAGAAATGATGAATCTTACAAGAGTGTGTTCATTGTGGTAATAGGACCAGAAACTGGGTTTCCCAGCAGTCCTTCCAAACTCTGAGTAGCAATCTGAAGTAAATATTCTAATTGTCACTGCATGTGCCATAGGCGCATTCCTTAGACCAGTTGCTGTTCATAGATATTGGCCACTGTGATTTGCGGTGTCAGAATCATGTGCCTGCTGCTGAGATCAGGAATTCACGGTTCTGGAACTGACCTGACAGACCTCTGACACACAGCCAATTTTTTTTCTGTAAATTTGACCCTAAAGAGGAAGAAGGGCTGGGGTATAGCTCAGTGGCAGGTCACAAGCCTAGAATGCCAGAGACCCTGGGTTTGATTCCTGAACCACTCTCAGTGGGGGGATAACAAGAAATCCCATCAATATGTACAATTATAATGCACTGATAAAAAAAAAATGGGGAAAAAATCTGCTCTCAAAAGAAAAAAAAGGCAAGGGGACTACATCAATATAACTAGATCAGAACTGGGAGAGGTTTTATATTGATAATGATGGTGGTGGTGGTGGTGTTGCTACTGGGAATTGAACCCAGGGTGCTTTACCACTGGACCACATCCCCAGCTCTTTTTATTTTTTATTTTGAAACAGGGTCTCTCTAAGTTGCTTAGGGCCAGTAAATTGCTGAGGCTGCCCTCTAACTTGCAATCCTTCTGCCTCAGTCTCCCAAATTGCTGGGATTACAAGCATGTACCACTACACCCAGTTCTGAGGAGGATTCTTGTTTCTTTCTTTTTTTCTTTTTTTCTTTTTTTCTTTTTTTCTTTTTTTCTTTTTTTTAAGAATAGAGGAGGAAGGGGAGGGGGCATGGGGTTAGCAATGATGGTGGAATATGATGGACATTATTATCCAAAGTACATGTATGAAGACACGAATTGGTGTGAATATACTTTGTATACAACCAGAGATAAGAAAAATTGTGTTCTCGATGTGTAATAGGAATTGTAATTCATTCTGCTTTCATATATAAATTTTAAAAATAATTTTTAAAATAAAGTAAAATAAAACACAAAAAACGGGCTGTGAAAAAAAATAGAATAGAGGTGACTGCACATGTTTAACTGCTTGTGCACAGAGGCAAATAGAGAGGGAGCCTAATCAGAGAACTTAAGAAATCATTATTTTCCTTTCTCACTCAGAAAAATATATTTAATATATTTTAATATTTAATATATTTAATAAAGAAACCTCTTCCAAGGTCCTTGGAAAATAACCTAGGCTCTCCTTTAACTGTCCTCCTCATGCTTAGGAAATAAAAAGTTAAATTGCTGTTTTAAATCACATTGCACAGACTAGAAGATGAAACTCCAAAGCCCAGACAGTGATGTTAATCAACATTTCAGCTTTCATTAAAAACAGGATCCCCCCCMCACACACACACTCACTACTTTCCGCAGTTAGGTCGTAACTGTGGGCAGGCCACCCGACTTGGCAAAACACAATGTGGTGAGCTGCTTCTTTCATGTTTGTTCACTCCTCTCACATTCTCAGCTGCTGTTGCTGACCCCTCTTTGTTGGAGCACTAGAGGCAGGAGAGAAAAGGGAAGCAGAAAGTTCTTCCTTGACTGATACTATTTTAAGACGGCTTTGCACTCTCTGGTTTTGGCAGATGTGTAAAGCTGAGTCATTTTTTAAAGATGGTTTCACGGATTCTTTGGAGACCATCCTGCTGGACCCTTCCAACGGCAACCCTCATGACATGGGTCTTGCCTTCTGTTATAGCTCTGGATCCACTATTTAGCTACTGCTAGAAATGAAAAGATGACTTCTCAGAATCTCTGTTAGAGCCCTGTCACCTTCCCAGAGAATCCTCTTGGAAAAAATTCTTGCTACGTGGAATTATGCATTTTCTGTATTGTTAAAGTCCATMGAGTCATAGTTTTAGGTTATCTGCAGCTAAGTGCACTGATAGTTCAAGTCTATGTAACTGCGGGGTATGGTGGCATAGGCCTATAATCCCATGTTTCTAGAGACTGAGACAGAAGGATGGCAAGTTCAAAGTCAGCCTCAGTAAGTTACCTAAGCCACTTAGTGAGACCCTGTCTTGAAATAAAAAGAGCTAGGGATGTGGCTCAGTAGCTAAAGCCCTCTAGATTCAATCCCCATAACAYCCTCCCCACAAAAATTATAATTAATTGATGCTTAAATTCTATTTTTCTCTTCCTGGTATCCTGCTTACTGTATGGGGAGAGAGTTGCTAATTTTGTGCCTGACTCCTCTTTAAAAAATTTCAGTGGTCTTGGTTAAGAAGGTGAAGTTTAGTGTCTTCACAGCCTCAGAGAAACGCTTCCTGCATAAGAATGTTCAGAAACCTACTGAATTGATGGATTAGGAATAAATATAGTAATAAGGAATTATTCTTAAAAGTACTAAGGGCTGTGGTTGTGGCTCAGTGGTAAATACTGGCTTAGTATGTACAAGGGCCAGAGTTCAGTTCCCAGCACTGCAAAATGTAAAATAAATGTATTGAGAAACTTATCCCAAAACCAAGGACAGAATGCTCRGATTTTTCTCTTTAAACCTCCCTAAGTGAGTTTTTTTTCAGAGATTGATAGATTTTATTTTCTGGAAATTAAAAAAAATTAGATGGAATGCTCATATGGTTAAGGTAGTAACTGTAATGTATCTGCCTTAAAACTAACAAGAAACAAAACAACTCAAAAAAAGGGCAATGATTTTGTACCCAGAAGCAAACTAAACACACCATGAACCAATTTGAACCCAAATATAACTGCTATTTTCGAGTTAGTAAGTAACTCATGAATACATATTATATTACAAAACATTCTAAAAGTTCTTTTCCTTTTTGTACATATTTGCATACACATACACTATAACTTTAAAATGTTACATAAGTCAATAATTGTATATATACTGTTCTGTGACTCCCACTTTTAGTTTATAATTTGTTTTGAAGTTTTTCTAAGTTTTCACAGAGCTCATTTTTTAAAAAAAGACAACTAATCTTTATTATTATAACAATTATTATTATCATTATTATTGGAAGTAGTAGTACTCAGGATTTAATCCATGGTGTTTTACTGCTGAACTATATTTCCAACTCTTTTTGTTTTTTGAGAAAGGGTTTCACCAAGTTGCTGAGGGCCTTGTTAACTTACTGAGGCCGGCTTCAAACTTGATCCTCCTCTCTCAGCCCTGAGTCACTGGGATGTACCATCACACCTAGCTATAAAGCTCATTTAACAACTGTATAGCATTCAATAGTAAAGTGCATAGAATTTATTAGATCATATCTATTAATGGACATTTAGATTCCTTCCAGTGTTTAGCTTTTAATAAAAATACTGGATGAATAATAAACATTCCTTTAGTCACATCTTTCTTTTTTTTTAGTCACATCTTTCTATAAAATTTTTAAAAGTAAGTCAAAGAGTATATGCTTAGCACAAGTTTTCTCAGCTAGCCTCTATATATGATCGCTTACTTTAATTACATATAGAGAATTGTCTAGCACATTAATAATAAGATACCAATTGAACAAATAGATCACCGCCTACAAAGATATTATCTTAAACATGCCCTTCACAAATGTGTCATGTTTCAAAATGGAACTGCAAAAAACAAATATACAGGATGACCAATCTAATTGAGAATGCAAGATGGTTTCAGGTGAAGTTTATTGTTCCTTCCTGCCTTTTTAAAAATGTGTTTCACTATCCACATTTTTTGATCCATTATAATTATCTGTAATGATGGAATTTGTGATTCCACATTCGTACTTGCATACAATATAACAATATAATTTGGGGCTGGAGATGTGGCTCAGCGGTAGCGCGCTCGCCTGGCATGCGTGCGGCCCGGGTTCGATCCTCAGCACCACATACCAACAAAGATGTTGTGTCCGCCGAGAACTAAAAAATAAATATTAAAAATTCTCTCTCTCTCTCTCTCTCTCTCTCTCTCTCTCTCTCTCTCTCTCTCTCTTAAAAAAAAAAAAACACAATATAATTTGGTCAATATCCACTCCCCAGCTTCCCCACCTTCCTTCTCTTCTTCTATCCCCTGGTCCCTTCTTTCTACTGCTCTCCCTTTGATTTTCATGAGATTTCCTCCTCCCTACCTTTCTTTTCCTTTTTCCTCTCTACTTTCCACATATGAGAAAAAAAACATATGACCCTTGACCTTCTGAGTTTAACTTATTTCACTTAACATAATGATCTCAAGTTCCATCCATTTTCCTGCAGATGCCATAATTTCAATTTTTCCTTATGGCTCTTCCTTTCTTCTTTCCTTGATTCCTTTTTTCTCTCTGTCTCCCTCCCTCTCTTTCCTTTATGCCCTCCCTTCCTCCTTCCTTCCATCCTTCCTTTCTTCCATCTGTTCACACATGTGGCTATCAGTAACCATTTATTCAATGTTAGAATCCACCTTTCCAGTCTTGTGCTTCCATTACTCAGGGAAACGCGTCTGTGTGATAATTGTGAGGAATAACAACCACTAAGGTGTTGCTCATTTTCCCAACCCAGTAGAAGACTAAAAGATCTGTTTTCATAAGTGATCCTGTTTTAAACAGTTACAGAATCACTTGTCAAGCCATTTGTTTTTCTTTACAAGGGAAGGCTTGCATTACATTTTTATTGCCTGAAAGAAAACTCTGCCATGCCTTTCATGTTATGTAGTCTATAAATAGGTTTTCTCATTCAGCAGAAAGGAAGCAGAAATATGATAAGTTTTACATAAGATATTAAATATTCCTTGTGGTTCATGGGTCAACAAACGGAACGTCGACACCAAATCTCCCTCACACATTAGTCTGCATTAGCAATAATTCTTAATTTGGCAACCTAAGAAGAATATTGTAACAGAATCAAGGTCCAAAGGCATCAGAGAGTATTTTTAGACTTCTTATGGAGTCCTGATCTGCTCTTTTTAGGTGTGGATTTCATGCATGAAAGTTCAGTTACTAGTTTTCCAAACTTCATAAAGTCCTTAGGTCAACAAGCATCATGAAAACCCACTCTAGGTGGGTTTAAATGCAAAGGATGCATTTAAATTTTAATTCCAAATTGTTTTCAAGTAATTTGTCAACGTGTTTGCTGTTGTGCCCTTGCTCTTCCTAGGCAGCTAGTTGTAAATGGCCTCCGTGATTTGGCAGTGCAAGAGCCTGCAAAGGAATGGACACTGTTATTTGTTGCCAATTAGCACAATGCCAGGCTAGATATCAGTCAAGTGCAGCAATAAATAACATTTGGTGTACGTGTCTAAGGAACTTTTGTTAAACAATATTTCCTACCAGGTTGAGTTTAATTGAAGCACACTAACAAAAAGAAAACAGAAAAAGCCTTCAGGGACTTTGCAAACAGTAAATACATTTCTTTCTCTTTTTTTATTTCATAAATAGATTTCTTAGAAGGTCATAAACTTGGCTTGAGTATCTCAGTATCTTTTTAAAACCTTAAATAAATTATACTCTTTCACATTTTTATACTAATATACAACGCAACCTCTTCATACTTTGCAGATTATTTTGAAATGTAATAAGGGTTTAGGGRTGTAGCTCAGTGGTAGAGGACACACAGCATGCACAAGGCTTTGGGTTCAATTCCTAATGCCAAAACAAATAAATGACTTTTTTTTCTTAATGTAATGAGTTTGATTTAAGTTTGAATTTATACTTGCAAAAGCATTTGCAAAATTAGGGAGATTTTTTGTTTTGTTTTGTTTTTTGCTTTGATTTCAATACTGGGGATCGAATCCAGTGGCTGTTGAACTACATCCCCAGTCCTTTTTATTTTGAGACAGGGTTTCCGCTAAATTGCTGAGGTCTTGCTAAATTGCTGATGTTGTCCTTGAACTTTTGATCCACCTGCTTCCACCTCTKGAGACTGGAATTAGAATTACTGCTACTGTGCCCAGTAAATTTAGGGGGAATTTTTTATTTATTTGTTTATTTATTGGGACTGAGGATTGAACCCATGGATATTTTACCACTTGACCTACATCCCCAGCACTTTATATTTTTTATTTTGAAACAGAGGGTCTCATTAAATTGCTAAGATTGGTCTTAAACTTATGATCCTCCTGCCTCAGCCTCCCAAATCACTGAGATTACTTCCAGATACGAAATACTTCTAAAATGCATTAGTAGACTGGATATGGTTTTAAAAACCTGTAATCCCAGGGATTTGAGAGGCCAAAACAAAAGTTCAAGCAGGCTGAGGTTGTGGCTCAATGGTAGAGCATTTGCTGAGCATATATTATGCACTGGGTTCAATTTTCAGCACTGTGTGTAAAGACATAAAAAATAAAGGTCCATTGACAACTAAAAAATATTTTTTTAAAAATCAAGTTTGAGGGCAGCCTCAGCAATTTAGCAAAGCCTAAACAATTTAGCCAGACCCTGTCTCAAAATAAAAAGGGGTAAGGATGTGGCTCAGTGGTTAAGTGCCCCTGAGTTCAGTCCCCAGAATCGAAAAAAAGAAAGAATGAATGAATGAATGAAATGCATTAGCAAATCTAGAAGAGATTTTCACACTAATCTGATTCATTCTAACCAATGTAAGTAGGTCTAGGGACGTGACTCAGTGGTA